GAGCTCCCGGCCCGCTCTGCCCCGGCTGCGGTCCCGCATCCTGCATCCCGCGGCACCGTTGTCGTGGGCAAAGTGTACCTGGGGGAACGCCACACCGGTTTGTTCGAGCCCCGTCTGGGGCCGGGCCCTCAATTCCCCCCCTTCCTTTCAGCGCTGGCCTTCGGGCGCCTCCGCCGGCTGCACACCGTGTACCAGACGGTGGAACTGCCAGAAACCCACCAGATGCTGCGTCAGACGTGCCGGGACTTCGCAGAGAAGGAGCTGATGCCTGTCGCAGCTCAGCTGGATAAGGAGCACCGCTTCCCGGCCGAGCAGGTGCGTGCTGCTCCCGCCGGCGGTGGGCACCCCAGGGGCGCACTGGCTCCTTCAGAGCCTGGCTTCGCTCTGCTGCTGCGGCAGGAACACCTGGGCCTGAAGCAAAATGTGCACTGATCTCTGGCTTCGTAGAAAATTGAAGTTTAGACCAGCTTCTGGCAAGGTTCTTTGAGTGTGGAGGTTGTAATGCTTACAGAACATTTTGAACTCGCATTTCTGTGTACTGTCTGTGCCTTAGTACCATTGAATTTTCAGTTCTCTTACCGGCTTTCCTGGGGGCTGTAATACAGCTGACTTACAAAATCAATGAAATACTTTTATAGACTGCACATAACCATAAAAACAGTTTATAGTGAGGAAGTGTAGATGACCTCAGTGCATTTCCAACAGTGAAGTGATCAGGACATAGGAGATACATGTTGGTCATCCTCTGGGGCTGTGAAGAAATTGAAATTCCAGTCAAACCTATGATTTCTCTTGTGAAAAGCAGTACAGACACTGCAGTACATTCTGTGCCGTGTTGAGCAGACTAACTTACCTGTTTTGTTGCAATGAAATATTGAGCTCCTGAAAGATTCCAGGCAAGCACAGTCTGAGACAGGTGAGTTTTGTCAGACACCCCTCTTTCTATTAAGGAGCAAGGAGGATAGCTGGGAAAGTCATACTCATGCTAAGGAAGAAAATACTTTACTGTTCTTACCTGAGAATACCCTGAATGGGTAGGGGAAAATTCAAAACGCAAACTGTTTATTAAGATAAAGCAACATACATAGAACTAGTTTCTGTCTTTTGTTCATCCTCTGGATTTGATGTGAAGGACTAGTGTTTTGGGTGCCCATACAGGAGGGAAAAATATTTGTTTAAAGATTCCTCTTGGTTTGCTTCAGCAAGCAGAGGCTGGTAACATGCATATTTCTGCAACACCAAAAGCTTGGCATCGTAAATATAAAAATGGAGGAAGTTTGTTTTTTCTCTTGTGTGTTGCCAAACATTAACAAGGGACTTTGAGTAAGACAGTCGGTGCTCTGAAGAAGCCAGGGATCCAGCTGAGGAACTTGGGGTGTAATAATTCGGAATGTAGCCAACAATTAAATTCTCTGGGAAGCAAGACATGGCTTTAATGGGAATGAAAAATCACTTTCTTGTAAACTATTCTGTGAGTTATTCATTCTGTAAAATTCTTCCCTTGTGCAGTCCTAGGCTGAAGCTCAGCAGACTCAAAGGTAAAGTTCTAATGATTTTTATCAGCTTAGATTTCCCATTGAGAGCTTCCTACTGACAGGAGATATGCAAGGGGAAGAGCTTTGGTGGGAGGCTGAGGAAATGCTGCTGGGGTTGCATCTCCCTATTTCACCTTCAGAAGGCTCCCTCCTTCCCAGTACTGAAGAGGGCTCTTTAAATAAGCCAGAGCCTTGTCTTAGGCATCAGTGACTGTGCAAGCTCTTGCTGAAGTCATCGGGACCTGGGGACACCTGTCAGCTTGTCCAGTCAGATTGCCATTTCACCAGGAGTTGTGTGTAGCCCTTCTATGTCTTTACCATCATGTATCCACATGGATTTGCTGGGACACTGATGGTGCAAAGGGTCTTACTTCTCCGTTCCCTACGTGCAGGTGAGGAAGATGGGTGGCTTAGGGCTGCTGGCTATGGACGTGCCAGAGGAGTACAAAGGAGCAGGCCTCGACTACCTGGCCTATTCCATTGCCTTGGAGGAGATCAGCAGGGGCTGCGCATCCACAGGTGTCATTGTCAGTGTCAATAATGTAAGTGTCTCAGGTCATGTGGGAGGGACAGGCGTGAGCTGAGGCTGGCGTCGGGCATGATCGGTGTGGGGAAGAAAGGGGATCTGTTCCTGAGGTGGGTTCTGGTGTGTTGGAGAACACTCAGACATTAGGGAGTTCCTGGATTGCTTGTACCTTCAAGAGGCATTAACTCAGCTCTCAATTCTTGAAGTCTCTGTATTTAGGACCAATACTCAAGTTTGGCTCTGAAGAACAGAAGCACAAGTGGATTGCTCCCTTCACCACTGGAGAGAAAATTGGGTGTTTTGCCCTTAGTGAACCAGGTGATGTGACTGTTACTGTTCCTGTTGCAAAGAACATAGGGTAGCTTCTTTCCATAGTCAGGTTTAGGATGGACTTTAGCTCTGTGAAATCGTAAGAGTTTGTAGAAAGGTGGTTTGTAGTAATTCTGTGTACACAAAGTCTCGATGCCCAGGGTATTAACTGCCATCCCCATGGTTCATGCTGAAAATCTTCATCCCCTCTGTGAGCAGAGCTCTGCAGATGGACATGTCTTAGGCACATGGGCCTTTCCCCTTCCTTTTCGGGTCTGCTGGGAGGGACAATGCTGACCCTACCGCAGCTCCAGAGGTGCCGTGAGCTGACAGGGGCTGCGGGCAGGGGGTGGGTTTGCACCCTGGGCTGCCACTGATTCGTCTGAGTTGTGTTTGCTGGCGCCTTGCTCAGGAAACGGCAGCGATGCGGGTGCAGCATCCACAGTGGCACACCTGGATGGCGACGAGTGGGTGCTGAACGGCACCAAGGCCTGGATCACCAATGCCTGGGACGCCTCGGCCGCTGTGGTGTTTGCTACTACGGATAAATCCCTGAAGCACAAGGTGCGTTCATGTGGGTCAATCAGGAAAAAGGGGCGGGAGTAAAGGAGCTGTGCAGAGAAGCACTTTGAGAAGGCCCTGGGGACACTGTATTTAGAGCGGTGCAGGCACTGAGCAGAGGAGGGGCTGATGTGTGACTGGCTTTATTCTATCTCATCTCTCCCCTCCCTTCTCCTGCTTATTTAGACATGTGGCTTCTATGAAAAATGTTTGGAGGAAGCCTGTTTACAGCCAGGTAAGTGGGAAGTTGGCACCCATCCTGAGTTTGGGTCTTGTTGCAGGGTATTAGCGCATTCCTGGTTCCCATGCCAACTGCTGGGCTGTCACTGGGGAAGAAAGAAGACAAGCTGGGAATCCGAGCCTCTTCCACTGCCAACCTGATATTTGAGGACTGTCGGATACCCAAGGCCAACCTACTGGGGCAGGTGGGAATGGGCTTCAAAATCGCCATGGTAAGAGATGGATCGGGGTGCAGCTGTGGTGGTCTAAAGCTGTAGTTCCCAAGGTTACAATTTTCAAAACCATTTTCAGACTTAGGATCACTTTGGTGAGAACCACTAGTAGAAGCTGTTCTGTGTAACATTAACCAGTTGACCTCTTTTGCCAGTGTGGGAGAAGTCGTTCACAGAGCTTGATGCATCACTAATTTACTGTAAATCCCTGTCAGCACTTTTATTGCAGAGTCAGTGTGGCAGTTCTCGATGAAGGAACACTGATGCCACTGAGGTGGTGTGTCAGCAGGGGTGCTGTGTTTTAATTTTTCTCCTTTCCCAACCCTCTTCCTTCAGTGTGTACCCATAGATAAAGGGAAAACATGACATTTTCCCTAATACTGTGGGAGAGGAAAGCTGCCCTGGAGGCCCAGGACAACCTCTGCCTAGTGTCTAACAGTGGATGAAACCTGAGTTAGGGCACGTGTGTGATGTCTGAGGAGGAGCCAGGCAGCTGCGGAACAGCGTGTTCCCTGCAGTGACATGCTGCCCCTTGGAAGTGTTCCTTGCTCTCTGCAGGGGCAAAACACCGCTTGTTGGCCTGACTTTCTGAAAAAGGCTGAGCTCCCTGTAGAACAGCCCATTCCATTATGTCCAAAACAAAAAGAACCCACCAGCCACTGGCCACTTTAAGATGCTCAGCCCAGGACCGAGAACCTTTTCTCACAGTGCTGTAAATTCTCCCTGTGTGTAGGGAGGCAGGGAAGCAGTAAAAAGCCCAATGGGCAGGTGTTTGAGGTAAGTCAGGTTATTGACTCAATTCAGTCATTTTGAGAAATGCTTCAGAGTGTGTACTAATGATGAGGGCAAAGAATAAAACTCAGATTTCCTTTTGGTATTTTAGTTAAAGTAAAATGATCTGCACAGTGAGCCAGGGGCCTAGCTGGAGGGTTCTTTTCAGCCCCTTCCAGAGTTCCTTGGCGTGGTGCTTCCCTTATTTGGCACCCCCTCTTTTTCCCCAGTTAATAAGTAGCAATCTCTCTGCTTTCCTTCTTGTACCCCTGGCCTCTCTCTGCGGTGCCCAGTGCATGTCATACCTCGGTCTTCCTGCTTAACCAGAATATGCTGCATCCAGGAGGACTCTCACCAGAGGATACTCGGGCTACAGCAGCTTCCCAGCAAGATCAGGAATGCAATGACTTGACTGATCACATATATTTTGTGTCTTTCTCAGCAAACTCTGGATGGCGGAAGGATTGGTATTGCCTCACAGGCACTTGGAATAGCACAGGCAGCTCTGGACTGTGCGGTGGATTATGCTGAAAAGAGAATGGCCTTCGGGTCGCCCATCACAAAGCTCCAGGCAGTGCAGGTACGGGCGGGGCGGTTCCAGGCACGGTGGGTGCTGGTGGCATGTTGCTGCAGGCTCTCACCCAGGGTTTCAGGCACGCAGTGCACTTTACCCTCTCTGGGATAAACAGGGTAATACTCTTTTTTTCAGATACCTTTAGAACGGAGTGTGGGGCCAGAAGCGCTCTGTTTCTAGCAAGAGTGGCCTTGGGGGTGGGAGGCTTCCGCTGCATGTTCTCGTGCAGGCAGAGGCCACTGCCCAGGACGAAGGCAGCGTTTGTCGTTGCAGTTCAAGCTAGCAGATATGGCTGTGGCCTTGGAGGGCGCGCGCCTGCTGACCTGGAGAGCGGCTATGCTGAAGGACAACGGGAGGCCCTTCACAAAGGTACCGCCAGCCTTGCGCCTGCCTAGCGGCGACGGCACAGGGCACGGGCTCGAGGCAAGAAAACCACACGGTGTGTAGAGCATCGCTGCGCTCGGCACCCGCCCGGCGCTGCTGGCGTTTAACCCACCAGCACCCACCCAGCTGCTCTCTCCTCAGGCGCCAGCTGAGCCCAGTCCTGGGTTTAGCCAAGGGGAGAGGGGTGGCTGCGCTCAGCTGGCACCAGTGCTCAGGCTGGCACAGCTGGTCTGAGCGTTCCTGCTCCTCGAAGTGAGGTGCTCCTTGTGCCAGCTGCACCCTCAGTGATGTTTTCTTTCCCCAAAGGAGGCAGCAATGGCCAAACTGGCTGCATCAGAAGCTGCAACGGCCATTGCTCATCAGGTAACTACTTCAGTTGCCATCTCTCTGATAACACCACGCTGAAAGGGAGTTTGTGTTGCCACACAAGTGCTTGGGGAAGGTGGGACAGAATTTACAAGATTGATTTTTTTTAAAAAAACCCCACCAAAACAGATAAACAGACCCATATGGCTGAAGCTGTTTAGCACAGCCATTTTTCTTGGACAGGGAGGGTAGAGACTTTATGCTGCCCTGTAGCAGCTGTATAAGTCTTCTTGTGCCTCCTGCTGCCCAGGGCCCTGTCAAAGTTCTGGGAGAGAACAGGGGTGCGCCACTCGGGACTGGTACATTTGCAACATCGTGAGCAAATGGAGCAGGACCTCTGGTGTCTGCATTTATTTTCTCTTGTCCTTAATAAGTGTCTTAGCTGAACAGGGATCACTACCAGGTCCCTCTGAAGTGATTCATTCTCTGCCTGGGACATCCCAATTGCTCTTGCCCAGCTCAAATCCTGTTTGTTCCTCTGACTGCAAAGGGGCTGCAGTCATCCCCATGTGTTCCCTGGTTATGCTTGTAGTGGACTTAGCTCCTTTTAAGGTGGCTGTGTTCTGTAGAAAACAAATTCCTTGACCCTGCTTCCCTTCTCACCCCCTGCCTTTGTTTCAGGCCATCCAGATCTTGGGCGGGATGGGCTACGTGACAGAGATGCCAGCAGAGCGCCATTACCGTGACGCTCGTATCACCGAAATCTATGAGGGGACCAGTGAGATCCAGAGACTGGTGATAGCAGGTCAATTGCTGAAGGCCTACCGTAGCTGAAACAGCCAACTAGAGCATGACACTGCCCCAGAGTGCCTTGTAACAACAGTGATTGAGGCGCTCTCGAATGAGGCTACTGATTGAAGTGTTCCTCACCAATGGGTAACTGACCCTCTTGTTAAAATGTGCTGATTCTTCTCTGGACAAAGTATGGTGCGTGGAAGGCCCTGTCTGGGTTTGTAAGTGATAGCTGGGAGTACAGGAGGGAGGAGGCAGCCTGGCCTTGCAGGGGAGCGTAGGTCTTCTCCTGAACTGGAGCCTTGGCTTGGCTTGGTAGCAGCAAAAGCACTTTGCTGTTCAGTAAGGCAGCAGCTCCCCTTGGGCACTTCCCAGCCCTGGCCTGTTCTGCAAAGACCTGTCACTACATGGTAGGGGATGATCAGTGCCAGCACTGGAGGCACAGAGGGGTGATCCCTCTGCCTTGGTCCAGGCTGCCTCTCCTGATCAGACCGTGAATTCCTGTGTGTGAGCTCCTGCTTGGACACAGACCGAGATCCTGGGGCAGCTCTGCTCTTTCCCTCACTTCCTTCCAGCAGGAGAGGAGCTGGGCAGGAGGGCGCAGGAACTGCCCGCGCAGAGGGCTCTCCGCAGGGGCTGGCTGTGCAAACTAAGGGCAGCGAGCAGCCCTGCTCCTGCCCAGCAGCCTGCACCCTCAGCCACTTACAGCTGTAGGTGTAACAGCAAAGGACAGAAAAGCTGCAATGCCCAAGACTGATTTAAAAAAAAAAACAACAAACCAAACAACAGCCAAAACCAGTGCTCCCAAAGCTGCTTTTACTATACCAACAGCCACCCAACAGGAACGTGCATGAAGTGGCAGTAACTGCCTTTAATCTCTACGTGTTTTGGGCAACAACGAGGAAATGAACATACAACACACAAAACCTTGCCAGGAAGCTTTAGCAGTAGCACATATCATTAATCAGTTACCTTTGGCAAGAAAGTAACTTCTAGAAGAGTCAACAGCCAACAGAAAAGCTCTAAACTCAGGAGCTCTAAGGATAGGATTAAGACTAGAGCAGGTGTGATCTGCCCCCTTGTCTAAAGGACGCGTACATGAGGTATTTTCCTGTGGTGCCCTTTATTTAGATTGGTGTGGAAACACAGCAGGATTCTATTACACGTAAGAGAGCAGAGAAGACAAATAAAACCTGATTTTAAAGGACCACCAGGCCTCACAACTTTTTTTTTTTTTTTTTTAACACAAATGTGAATTAATTTAGAATATTTTCTTCCAGTCACAAGACAGAGACAGGAGCATAAACCAGCAGGGCCTGCAGGCACCAGTTAAGACACGGCTTTGAGGTACAATACAAATAATTCCCTTGCAGGTCGCTAGAGGGCAACTGTGTCCTGGGGCAAAGTCTTCGAGTCTTGATTTCTCTTGCTGTTCTTGCAAACCCAAGGATTAGCAGAAACAGCACCAGGCCCGGCCTGCAACAAGAGCATTTCTACTGGAAAACCGTGCTCGCTAAGTGTGTTGTAAATTATGGAGGGTTTCTAGGAGCGAGACACACTTTTCTAGCTTGATTCCAGCCCCTCTCACCTCCGATCATTGCTGAAGGCTCATTTCTATGATTGTGTAGGAGGAAGTGATAATATTTCACACTTCTTGCTGTCACCCAGCTAGAAGAGGAGCTGTAGGGCTGCTGGCTGCAAGGGAGGACTTCAGGATGCAGTTATTGTTCAGGGCTCGTCTTTGCTGACCTGTGCTGAGCCCCAGCTGAAGCCCTCATGGCCCAAGCAGTCAGTCGGTCACACTTAGGCTGTGCCTGCGGCAGTTTCCCCTCTCCCCATCTAGCTGCTTCTCCTAGAGCTGCTCCTCCCTTGCCTACCTGCGCCAAATGACAACTTCTCTGCCCCGGCGCAGAGTGCAGCTGCCCCTCTGTGGCACCAGGGCTGCCCTAAGGGGCAGAGCAGCTCTGCGGGCAGCGAGCACCAGGACCTGCACCAGGACCAGGTGTGCCAAATCCCGGGCACCTTCCGCAGAGAATACGGGGGCAGCACCAAGGGACCGGCTGTTCTTGGGGGAGCGCTGCTGCTGCGCCTCTGACCGGACAGAGCCTGCCGTGGGGGCAGCCTGGATCACGCACCGCCCGCCTCGGTCACAGGCTTCTTGCTAGTGCTGACTTGGTGCCAACCGCTGCACCCAACCGCTGCCATAGTCTGGATCAAGTTACAGGGCACATCATCAGATGACAAAAAGGGTGGAGCTGGTCAGAACCCACCAGTCTAGGTACAACGTGCCAGCCAGGTTCCTGAGCCTAGGAACAACTTACAGATGTGCTATTAGCAGAGTTCCCTTTTGTCCTTACCTAAAAACATGCTTTAAGGGTGCAAAGGCTTTCAAACAAAAGTTTTCCACTACTTTCCCCACTGCCACAGGTCCCAAGAGGGACCAGTCACCCAGCACTGCACAGCAGCTTTGGGGTAAACAGCACGGTTACACACAAAGCCTGACCCACCGCTCCGAGAGCAAAGAGCGAGATGGTTTTTCTCAGAGCAAGATACTAAGAGCTTACTCCTCGCTGCTGCTGGCAGAGAGAATTTTGGCTGTAATGTTCGTGTGTCTGCTCCTCAGGGATGTTAGAGAAAAGAACTGCTGAAAGTGCGAAACACAAACAAGTTTTGCAGCATTGAACGGGGAGCTCTTCGAGAGCCGCCCCCAGACAGCGCTAACCTGGCCAGGATGGGTAGGGCCAGGCTTCCCTGGGAGAAAAGGGTCTAGTTACAGGGGGTTTTATCAATTTACAAACTCAGCCAACACTGCAAAGTCAGGGCACCGAGATGAGGAAAATAGGTCACGCATAGATTGGAGGTGGGGAAGGAGATAAGCCACAGCTGCACTTCTCAAGAGCTCTGGGGGTTTGCCCCAGAGTGCTCCAAGTGTACGTGACACTGGTTAGGAGGCAGAGGGCAGGCTGCTGGGAAGGAAGCAGGGGGAGCCCAGCCAGAATCCTTTGTTAGGAAACAGTTACAGTAATGAGGAGTTACTTCCCCCCTCAGATTTGATGTATTTTATATCCCAGATAAAGCCCACAGTCCCTTTCATGTGAGTTCCCAACAGAGGGAAGGAAGAGACGAGGTGTTCTGGGCTGTCACAGTTCAATATGGGCAGGTGAGAAATACTTTGCTCCTCCAGGGGAGCACAGACCCCAGACACGTCCTTCTCGGCCCGACCCCCTCAGGCCCAAGGAGCTGCCTGGAGCCTGGCTCCCCCCCCCGAGCATCTGCCTTCCTCGGCGCGGGGGCGCGCAGCCCGTGGGGACTCGCCGCTCAACTTCACACCATTTCAAAAAAAAAAAAACCCCAAAGTGCCATCTCAGCCTTCCAAGTTTAAGCAGTGTATAAAATGTTTTACAGCACTCAGCTGAAATTGCTGTAGTACTGCTTTCACATCAAAATAGTCTCCTCTACCAGTCTTTTCTGACAGTGTTATCTATAAAATAGGACAGATTATTTTAATTAAAATTTTGTTTTGCCTAAGTTGAGAGCCCTCATGACACACACAGACCTGGCAACAGCCACACGTGCAGGTTAGGCTGGGGATGTTGGAAAGTGTGAAAAATACCGGATTTGAAAGACATCCTGAAGTAAAAAAGCAAAGTACTATAACAGTATAATGAAGAATAACTGGAAGAAATGGAATAGAGGTAAGAAAGCATGACAGTGTTGGAACCTGGAAAATGCAATTTACTACTGTTCAGCTAAAAATTAATTTCAAATTCTACTCACTCACTACTTGTATAAAAAGAAAAATCATTGGGAACCCTCCCTCTGCTTCCCCAGGGAGGTCAATGCAAAGCTGGGGAAGCCACCCAGCAGTCAGGGTGTGTTTCCCAATTGCCTCGGTGACTTCCCCTCCTCACACAGAACAAACCCTACTCCCACGCTCAGGACAGGAAACATTCATCTCAGCAAAAGGTTTCTGAACTTCACCCGATGGAAACTGCAGTGCTGGCTGCCCCCGTGTGCTCCCGAGCCTCTGTGGGCGGGCTGAGCCCGCCACGTCCCGGCTTGTCCCAACAGGCCAACACAGAGCAACCATCTCCTGTTCCTAACACACTTCACCATTTCTGAACTCGTACTGTTTGTAAGATTAAGTGTGATCTTAGGGAAATTTCAAAATGACAAACAGTAAAATTTCTAAGCTGACTATTCCGAAAGATGCATCAGAAAATTGACTTCAAAACTGCTACCGAGTCTGCATGTTACCATTCTGGTCCATGTCCCGTGCTATAAACATGCTCTGGGGTCTGTCACTCTTTTGCCAGTATCCTTTTACCTTCCTACAAGGCTTATAATAGTCAAACAATTACTAAATTTTTTTTCCTGACAACTCTGGAAGAGAAAGGGCAGGTGGTTTGGTAGTCTCACTGCAGGGTCAAGTAGTTTATTTCAGATTTCAACAAAATGTTAAACCAAAGCGGCCTGCACAGCTGTACCAGACCCCGGAGGGACAGGGAAGCCTGGGCCCTACACGGCCTCCAGAAAGCCAAAGAACCCAAAGCAGCTTGCACAGTTCCATCCTCGAGCTGAAGACGCATAGTCAGTCAGATGGAAGGAACAAGGACAAAAGGTGTGTCCGTGCAGAGAGCGCCCAGCAGCTGAGGAGCGAGGTAGGAATCTGCCTCTGATCCCCCAAACATGAGGTTGCTCAGGACGGGAGAACTGTGGGACAAAGCTTTACAGCTTTAACTGACTCGGAAAACCCAGGAGAATGCTCTTCCCTCTGCAAACGTTAATAGCTTTGTATTTAGAACAGTTGTGCCCCAGTTAACCTCTGCAAGGCACCAAAATCCTTTTCGTGCCAGTGGTGGCTGCTGTTGTACAGCAGAGGGGCAGCAAACACCTTCCAGTCCAGTTTTCGTGCTGTCGCCGGGGAAGCTGGGCAGTCGGCTCAGCGCTGTGGGTTCAGGAACAAAGTGCTGCAGGTACAGCTCGGTCTCTTACCTTGGTGCAAGTCAGAAAGTCACAGTGTGTAGCAGGGCAGTACAGCTTAAAGAGGAAGGCCAGGATTTTTTGGAAAGCTAAATTAGTTCTAAGCATTTGTCAATTAGCACTTCTAGAAATTTTTCCAGAATGCTTTTTAAGCGTAGAAAATAACTCAGAGGCATGCTTTCCTGGCAGGGACTAAAAACACCACTGAAAAACAGCAAAAGACCAAATTTTATTTTAATTCCAAAAGGCAGGAGGAAGTAAGTCCCGAGAAGCTGAATGCACCCAAGATGTGCATTGCTAGCGGGCGGGTGGAAGGGGTGGGAAGACAAAGCAGTAGCAAACTGGATCTAAACATCCAGTTCCACTGCTTGGAACCTCTGGAGGAAAAACTCCAAAAAGTGTCTTTTTTTCTCTCTCTGAATATCCGCATTAATATTTTATTCACCTTAAGTCTGAGGTGTGTAGCTGAAAACTGATGTCTTTTGTCCCAAGCTGACTGCAAGTCCTGAACCTAACACCTGCTATGAACAGTACAAGCAGATTTTTAATTAAAAACTATTTACTTCATTAAAAAGTGACAGTTACCTGACAATGAGTGTTGCAGGCACACACTAGAGGAAATTTCTTCAACAAAGTGAAAGATGAACTAGGGATAAAAAAAAAAAAAATGTCACAACATCCCCTCTGCTACACCCGCCCTCCCACACTTGCTAAATCTTGTAGCCCCCCACCCCCCCGAAGGGCTCTGCTGCTTCTTACTGTTTCTTCAGACGCGTTGTGTCACCTCTCAGGGATGTGCAGGAGCCAGCCCGGAGGCCGTCAGGCCTTCTGCCTGTCAGCACCCACAGACTTGCCTGCGAACAGAGGAAGACGATAATTAACGACCATACACATACCTGGCTGCAAAAAATTTTCTACCATGCTAAATATGCTCTTCTGGTACCATCTGACAGAGCAGAAAGGAACAGACATTTCATCGAAGCCTCCTTACCTGCTGCAGCAAAACTGTACCCCAAGCTAACGGTCCTGCTCGGTCAGATTCATCCTGAGACATTCCTGTTTTCCTCCCAGTCAGCTAACAGTTATGAGCATCTATGAAACCACAAGAGCTACAAGCTTTCTGGAGAGTCCCCCAAACCCAATTTGGCAGAATATTTTAAAGGAAAAAAGCTCTCGTTACCTCAGGGAAGCCTTTCAGTCACTAAAATAACAGAACTGGAACCGCTGGTTTAAAATAAAATAAAATCCACAG